GCTGGACCAGCCGGTGCTGCCTGCCGAGCTGCACGGCGTCTGCAGCAGCCCCAGGGTGTAGCGGGGCGCCCGCTCCGCTCGCCCGCCCAGCACCGAGGTGGAAGAGCCGCGGCCCGTGTAGGACTCCGAGGCGACCGCCCGCCCCACCGCGTTCTCCTCGCTGCTTCCTCCCGACATGCTGCCCTCGCCTCAGCCGCCACGGCCCTCGCCGCGCGCGGCGCTCAAGGCGGCGGCAGACGCGACACCCGCACGCGCGCGCACAAGCCCGGCTCCCGCGCGGCGGCGGCGCCGCCTCGTGGCGAAATGGCGGAACGGCGGCCCCGGGCGGGACGCGCTCTGCCTTCGAGGAAAGGAGGCGTGAAGCCGCGGGTGCCAGTGCGGCTGCAAAGGGCTCGATATTGAGGGTTGCGGGGCACGCAACAAGTGTCGTTATAAATATGCAACCACAGACAGCAGCAGGGTGACACGGGAACGCAAGGAAACGGTGTTCTACGCTCTTCAAAACAGGACTAAAGCATCTAAACATAGCTTGTCCCACATCTGGTCTTCAACGGTCAGAGGCTATTTTAGCAGGAGCTTCACAGATGTTTTTCCCCTGCTCAAGAGTTTAGTTACCAAAAAAACCCAATAAGCCATAAAGCTTGTTCAATTCTAGAATGGTCTTGAAGGTACATCCGTATCCACAGCAGAGCCTTGACACGTTACTAGTAACTACTGTCAAAAGGCCGTAGGTGTATTCTCATGAATAATGAGGATTCCATCCCTCAATCTATCAGGCGTGAGTTAATGACAGAACTAATGAAGGGCGGCAAATATTGTATGATTCTCCAGGAGGGACATCCTGGAACATACCAGTGTAAGGACCTTGAGGATGGTACTCATTTATAAGCTTTTTAAGAAGTTAAGCCAACTCAGCAGGAAAGTGAAAATTCTTAGCATCCTAAGCTGAACTATCTTCACAATAATACTAAAAACCATGCCCAAAGGTCAAGAACTCCCTTGCCCAGGAGAAGATCCTTCCCCTGAGCATGTGTGTTAGCTATAACTTGATTGTGCAATTGTATGTAAATTACTAACCAATCAAATACAGGTAGGTACATTGTAATACTAATATTATAATGACTTCATAAAACATGTATAAAGATGGCACAGGGCGTGCTGATGGGTGTGCTTGATTTGTGGAAACCACCAAGCACCCAGCCTTGGGCAGCGCTGAAATAAGTGATCAAGGTGCGAGATGGTCAACTGCACAGCGGGGAACGGGTAGGACTTTTGGGACAACCCTGGCTCCGTCGGGCCCTGGCCGGGAGCACACCCCACTGAAGCAAGAGGAATGTCCATCTTCCCCCTTCCATCTGGTCACAGACCACAGAGCTGAACTGCCCCCACCACGCTGTCTCCACAAAACCAGAAGGAAGCACCTCTGGAATAAAGCACATACCTCTGGTCTTGACCATATTCTGAGAAGGTAATAAATGGCTCTTCATTCCCCATCCCCTCACTCATTCTCTTTTAATAAACATATCTACAGACAATTTTAGGTACCTGAATGATTCATTATTCTTTCACAGTATCCCACACAGCATCTTGCAAAATGTATGGCTGGGAGTGTCAGCTACACTACAGTGCCTAAGATCAAGTACTAAGAAAACATCAAAATCTTTCCATATAAAGATTTCCATGGTAAAACAAAAAGTTATGAAAGTACAAATTTCTGAAAGCCTTTAATAAAGGACCTGTAATTGAAGACTCAGAACAGTAGATTAATTATGGCAAAGTTTCTAACTATGTAAGCTCAGAAAAAAATCTTATCAGTACTTTGAACAAAACAGAGGTAGACAGTAACAATGTATTCTGCATCAAAATGATGCGAGTCTTAACATAGGCAAACTGGGCAACTCATTTTTTTCACAGTACATTTAACAGAAAACATGATTTTGTTTGCTTAAGAAAAATTGTGATGATTCTCTTTCTACAAATACAGTATTTAAAAAAACTGGTGTAAAGAATGGAGGAATATTCTTAAGAGGTTTTTAGTTTGTGCACATACTTATCCCTTTTTTTAAGCTATAATCTTAAAAAACCTTTACAAATCACAGCTGACTTAGGAATTGAAGTTGACCAGACCTTCCTCAGAGAAAAACTCCAGTAATATTAATAGGATTTCAGCCTACAGTGAAATGTTCTACACTGTTGTGCATTATCACTCACATATTGATTCCCAGGGTCTCAGTCTATACTTAACTATACATTTTAAAAAGGATTCCATTTTGTCTCCACAACACAGAAAAAAAATGGCAAATTCCCATGTACTGAACAGTGTTTCCTCAGAGGAAAAGAAGCAGCACTTGCTAAGGTAACCTGGAATGAGAAAAATTTATCTTAAAATCTTCTGTTAAACTTTACAGTTAGATAAAAGCCTGATCAGGGCTCTCATTCCCTCGCACTCAATACAAAGCCTACAGAAACTTTTTTCCAAAGCTTGACAAAGAAATTAATTCCAGGCTTTAACTAAAGAATTCATCCGGCAACTGGACAGCTAAACAGAGGAGGATTTTTATTTTATCTAAAAGCCTGAGAGAAGGCTTAAAAAAAAAATCATTAGAAAAACCTGAGCATTCAAATACACATCCCCTTTGAAATTCTCTACAAGTAAAGGTCTAGTTAAAAGTTACTTTGTCTGGTTCTATCCTACTAACAGTAATAGGCTGGATAAAACTAACCAGCTGGCTTCTAAAACTATGTTTGAAACAACTGTAGACCTTCCTTAAGCATAAATACAGAGATTATCAAATATTTCCTCCCCTTCACAATTACCTTTTACTGTATATTCCAAGTGGAACACCATTCAGTCTCAGCCAGGGTGTGTGGAACGTAAATTAAGAGGAAGTTTTAGGGCTTCTGTGAAGACAAAGAGGACTCCATCCTTCAGAGAAGAAGTATTTTCCAGAGCTCGTTTTATTCTCAATTACACCATAATCAAGTGTTGGCAATTATTGTCTTAAAAGCTACAAAAGCAGGATTTCAACCCAGCAACAAGTTTAGGATCAACTGTATTTTCAGTTACACATCACTGTCCTATAGATACCTCCTCTAGAATGCTTAATGTTAGCAAGTTTCTCTAAACCTACTTAAGGTATGCTCTATTTCAAGTATCAGCAAAATTTTGTCTTAGGGACTCATCAATAAACGAAGACATTTATATATGTGTGTGTAATGGAACCATAATATTTTTTTCTCACTGGTACCAATTACTATCAGAAGAAAAACCTTGTTTCTGAGTTTATAATGGTAATGGCAAACTTGAAAAGGAATAATTAAATACAGAAGTGTGTGGCATTAAGTGCACAGCTTAAGTAGGGTTTTGTTTGGGATTTTTCTTCATATTCTTTTAAAGTGCTTTGAGTGATCCACCATCAAAACATGCTTATGTAAAGGCAGATGCTAGCATGGCTGATATCACAGAGTACAAAAATTAACCATTCACATCACTATTGCTTTGACTTGAATATTCAGAAAAAAAACCGCAAAGGCCCATATGTTTAGATACAGATTAGTAATGTTTCTACATCTCTTATATACAACCAAAGACCATGTTACACTCAGATTATTAGAACCAGCCTGTTCTGATACAGTTTACAAAGTGACAAAGCCCACAGTAAAGCTCTTGCTTTACTTCCATCATGTAAATACATCTCAAAGAAGATTATGCTAACAGTTTCAGCGATGAGATGACTGAAATCAGCAAAACCAAAGCAACTGGGCACACCATCCTTTTGTCTCCACGGGGCTTAGCTCACAAGCTCAGGCTGCACATTTATTCTTCGAAGAACATCTTCTGGCATACAAAAGACAGGATTGACGGCCTTAATTTGTTCTTCTCCTAATAAAGATAGTCCAGCAATTCCAAATAAGGTGTGAAATGGATCCACCTGGGAGAAAAGAGAAAGTTTGTGTCTGTTTCCAAAAGACAATTAGCACTTAATTTGTATAGAACGAAGCTTTTGCTTGCTAGCAAGCAAATCTCCACGGCTGGAGAATACAGCGCAACTCAGCAAGCTTTCATTTGTGCCAACATGTGACAGGCAAGACACATTTACAATACCATGATTTACTCAGAAAAGCTTGTAGATTTTCTGCTGCTAAGACGATTTTCAACTCTGAATTTGGCAGGAAGCACTCACGTGTCTCCATTAACATGCAGTGTCATAGGGCAGGAGAAGCAAAGAATAAAAATTTTAAAAGTAAATTTGATCATCTACAAGACACATCTACTTCCATAAATTCCCCATTTGCTCTTCAGCAACAACAGAATGCTCGTTAATGGTCTCTGAATAGGGAGCTGTGCTGTAAAGTCTTGAGAGGGAACATCATCTTACTGAGCTAGAAAACTGAAAGGAAAAAATACAAGGAAGAAAAAACCCAGAAGGGACAGGAGCAGTTATTTGGCATCCAAGTATTCCTTCACTGTGGGAACCTCCCCCAAAAGCATGTATCAGCACACGACTGCAATAGGCTACGAAGTCTCATGACATAAGCATCCTGTCAGTGGAGTTAATTTGCTGTTCTACAAAATCCTATCTAAAAGTACCTTTGCTGTCTGGTGCAGCGTATGTCCTGTTTGCACTAGTGGAACTTTTGGATCTTATGGCAAAGGTTCTATACTGCAGTAAACTAAGCTGAATGATCATGTTACAGCCGTATACAGGATCTCCAGCCATTGATAGAAGGTTCAACCCACATGAGCATAGCGAGCCTTGGTCCTCAGTGCTTTACTTGCTCCTTCCCAGAATAAGAACATGGCCATTAGAGGAGGGGTAAAATAAATAAGTACATGGCAAAACAATAAACACTACACTTCAGGAATGGCAAGACAGAATGCACTTGTACAGAGGGACAGGCCCAGAAGGGGAGACGGTTCCTAATGGGAGTGTGTAAATGAAGTTCCAAAGTCAACCTCTCCGTGAGGTATGTATGCTCCGAGAAAGCCAGATTTCTAGAAGACACATCTACTGCTACGCCGTTTGCTCCTTTCTGTAATTTTGTTTCATAGAATTGTCTGGGTTGGAAGGGACCTTTAAGATCATCTAGTCTAACCATCAACTCTGATAAAAAAACACTAAACCATGTGTCTAAGCCCTATGTCAACCCATCTTTTGAAAACCTCCAGGGATGGTGCCTCAACAACTTCCCTGGGCAGCCATTTCCAGTGCTTAATAACCATTCCAGTGTAAGAAGTTTTCCTAATATCCAATCTGAAATGGATGCAAACTTTATATGCCATTTTACCCGGGCAATCTCAACTATTTCTGCTTGAAGCCAGAGAGAACAGACCAGCTAAACCATAATCAATCTCTCAACCAAGCAGAAAATTTGCAGTCTCTTCCTAACGTCATCACAAAAGCTTGTTCCTCCCTCAACTGGGCAGATGACAGTGAGAGGATTTATTCAGCCACTGGGCTGACACAGAACAAAAGTTAGCATATAAGGACTCTCAATAAAAAACTTATGACTCATTTAGATCAGGCAGAACCACCAATAGAGTTGAAGACTACTTAACCTGTGCTGGACTCTAGCTTGAGTATTATTTTTACAAAACAAAACCAACCCCCAAAAACTCCACACATCCCAAAAACTCCACCTCCAAACACAACACTTTTACAAAGATCTCCCAAGTGGTCTCATGAGAAATTATTTGTGTGGTGTGTGTTATGGGAACCAAACCAGAATTTGTAAGGAATAGCACCTGACTTCAGTGGGGGATGCTACAGCACAAGTGCCATATAAAATATCGGCTCCCCAAGTAAACCTTCAAAAGCAAATCTACCCTGTTCTTTCCTTCAAAGAAAACTGCAGACTTTGCAAAACGCTTACACTTGGATCACGAGTTCAGTTACACTCAAACGAGAAAATTTACTTTTTCAGTTGAAATTCTGAATTAAGTATATTTTATTTAATAAAGGATTATTTACCATGTCTCCTGGTCTGTCAGCAAATCCTCCAGTCTCCTCATCCTGGCAAGCCAAAATAAAGCAGCGCAGTCTCTCTCTATCAATCCAGTGTAATCTCCCAATCATCTTCAAGGATGCCAGCACCCACCACGAGTAACACACATCAGGTAACTGGCAAGCAGAGAAGCAGGTTGTTATTTGACTTTGTTTTAAAGTGACGCTTCAAATGTTATTGGTTATTTCGAAAATTACTAAGTGTGCTGTCATAATACTGTTGCAGAGAAACAACACTTAAAGAGTGATCTTTGGAGTAAAGAGAAGTTCCTGGATGCAGTCTCTTTGCAGAAGATTTCCCCTTTTCAGGAAGTGAAATTCTCTTTTTTTTTTTTTTTTTTTCAAACCTCTTTCCTTCTTCAAGAAACAAAACCACAAGAACATGATGCTGAAACAGCCTTCACCTTCTGTGGGAGAGGCCAAAAACCCACAGCATCTTTTTAAAGAGTTAAGTACAAAGAACATATCAACTATGTTCACTTTTTTCACTGGTTTGAAAAAAAATAAATAATCTATTGGTTGGTTACCTATTTGCCAGTGGAGATTATTCTAGGTTACACGGTTTCCTGCTGTGATGTGGAACACCATTACACTCAGGATTTACATCCAGTAAAACAGTAATTTGTGTATGAATCCTACAGATGAGATCATTCCCAATGTCAGAAAATACCAAAGCCCCGATTTGACAGGATGCTTGTTCAAGTACCGTACAGAAATACTTCAGTATGTGTACCTTCCTAAACTGGGGACTAACACGAAGCATAGCCGAGGACTGCATAACAAGTGTTAGCAACAAAATTAAGAATCAAAATGAGGGCCTGAATTCTTAGAAAAACTTTACTAAATATGTCATAGAAGTCATGACATTTTCTAGAAGTGCTTCAGCTTTAAAAAAATTATCTCTATTGAGGTCTGAACAAACACAAGCAGCCACCTAATACCTTCTCTGGTCGTCCGTTGAGACCTCCAGAAGGTAACTGACGTTCACAAAGCCACCAACCCAGCAAGTCAACATTTATTTGATGCAGCTGGTCTGTTATCGCCAGAAATCCTGTGCAACAATAGATCTAAAATTACAGACATAAAATTGTTGTGTATTTAAAAACTAAGCATAGTTTAGCAGACTAAACGCAGGAAGATCTTGAAGCAGGAATACAGTCATGCAAACTCAATACAAAACCATACACGTTTCAACTTTCAGTTGCTTTTGTGTAAAAGTACCAGTTACACAATGTAACACAGATTTCACTAACATAAGACACTAAGGCAAGGTTTGGAAAAAGAACCTAAATGATCAGGCAGAACCATACAGTTTTATTTCAAAAACACTCAAGCGAGAGTACTCAAATTTATTTCTGCAGGCTGGATATGGCCTTTATGACAATTTGCATCCAGCCTATGGAAGGTTCCCGTACGTGCCTCTCACCATAAGGCTTGTGGAGAGCAAACTGAAGACCAAATAAATTAATTCTCTGGCAGAAACAGGTTAACCCTGATCATTAACGATTCTGGCAACCCCACATACATCTAGTCACATCAGGCTCACTGTCAATGTGCCATGCAATGTGTGTGCAGATTAATCCCCCCCCTTTTTTTTTTTCGCTGGGAAATAACATTTACAGTGCAACAGCATACTCGGGTCATGTTTCATGCGGTCACTAAGAAACCCACCAAGCACAAACTGCAAGAAACCACAATCTCAACTGAAGCCTCCTCATAATTTTCTTTTCCCAATAAAACACACTCCAAAAATACAACAAAAACAACAACAAAAGCACACATCAACAGGGATGTTCCTGTCCAAGAATACTGCAAAATAAATGTGATATTCCTAGAAAACTTTTGAACTACTGTGCAGGCGTGGCAGTTGCCCTTCACAACATTTTAAGGAGTATGTGAACATGCACAACAGATCTAATCCTTCACGGAAACACTAGCTGCAGAGTGGGTTCAGCAACATTATCTGACTTCCTTGAACACTAGACCATGGTCCAGCTATTTATCTGCTACTGTAGATAAAACTTACAAGGTAAGGTACATGTACCAGGCTTGAATTTTTTTTCCCCAGATTTAAAAGAAGGAAGGAGCAGGAAAAACCCCAACACTTTTTCTGAACAAAATACCTCTAGAATTTTCATCTGCTGAGGTGATTCCTGGCTACGGCATTACTCACCATAATTATGCAAAGTAAACAAGTGATTGCAATAGCATTAAAATATTTTAATAAAAGTTGGTTTCTATTCATAAATTCAGTTGAAGTGCAATAATCTCTTCCCCCCCCCCCAAAAAAAAAAAAGGAAAGGTAGTTTTTTTGTTAATTTTCTGCTGGAAGGAGTCACTGAGGTTCCCTTCCTTGAGAGACTGCTTAATTTGTTCCAATTATCTTCTCAACTACATTTTACTGAGCATTTTTCAGAATTCACCATCACCAGTAACACATTCTTTAGTGTCTACAAGAAAACATGATAAATGTTCCCACATCTGAGTTAGGCTCTCATCTTAAAACTGACTTTCCTCAAAAAATTAACCAAGCAGCCCCTTGAAAAGGTTCACACCTCATTTCAGTTCATCAGCTGATAAATATCGAAGTTATTACATAATTGACCTTTATGTTTCATTATGATTTGTGGTAGACACAGTGATAGATCTTGTCCAGTATCTCCATTAATACCCATTTCAAATTATCTAAAAATCCTCATGCTAACTATTCCAACATCATGATGTGAAATTGAAATCCAGTCCTAAAGTTGTTCCCTTATGATCTTTTATTTTTTTTTCCCCAGACTATAACCTCCTGAGTCTTTACTTATCTTCTCCGATTTATCTACTATCTCACGTTTATCTATTTGTTTGTTTATTTTAACAAAGGTAATAGAATCAGGCGTTTGGGAAACGAGAAAGGTATGTCCATGACATGACTGGTAGATGTTGTAAAGAACATTTATAGGCAGTATGCGATACTTGCTAACTTAAAATGTTTCCATATAAAGAAAAAGTTACCTGTCCTGCATGTGATTCGGAGCCTGGTCTACAGCCAAATCCTCCATCAAAGTTCATACAGGACAAAACAAATTCTACAGCTTTCCCCACGTCAATGGCATCCAGCCTTCCCTGCAAGTCAGAAGAGCAACTAATGCACTTGACCGAGCTCATTAACCACAGAAACTTCAGCAGTACTGAAGAGGAAATTCTGTACTTGTGCAAGTAATGATTTAGGGCTTACCAGAAGCGCAAGAGTCGCTGCAGCACAGAAGGAGAACCTCGTATCTATTTCTCCTGGAATGTGGGAGGTAGGCAATGAAATAAGAGTGTTTTTATAAACAACAAAAATACATTTAAATCACCACTGAAAATAAGGAACAAAACATTAAAATATGAGGTTTTACATTGAACAACAAAAATCAGCCAAAACCTATCCCTGTACTGTTTCCTTTTCCAGCCTATCATTTATTTCCTCAGTAATACAGAAAGTGTATGTTATAACTGAAGTGATCTGTATGCTTACTGCACACAAAAGCAAACAACTCATTTTGAGCTGGTGTATAGCCAGATATATATCCAAATCAATTCAACTGGTGGTAATTTACGAGTAACTATTTAATTACAGAGTTTATCTGTAGTGTTCTACTAGATAATTGCAGACAGTGGACTCAAAAATACTTGGAGACAACTCGATCTGCCTTAAATGCAGGCAGAAGTAGAAGCCATTTTTGTGTTTAAAGGAAGACTGATGGAAGTTGCAAGTTTTCTTTCATAGACTTGTACCTGGAAGCCAAATCAAACCCACTACCCCTATAGCAGAGCAATTGCTCAGTTATTTCATGCCAATATAACTCTCCTAGCACCAACTCCAATCAATCAATGCTTGAAGTCAAAATTTAAAATTTAATCCAGCCACAAACGTTCATTTTTTTGGTTAAGCTGCTGCAAGACTCTTCTTCTTAAGAAACCCACAAGCCGAAACACATAAAACGAATGTTCTGCTTTGTACTACATCAGGTATCACACTCCTTCAGCTGAGCTGTAACTGCCTGTCAGAAATAATGCAAATCCATCACACAGTCAGTGCATTTGTTTCGACACTTCAACAAAAAGGATGCAGCAAATTATGAGCCATTTTAACAGATAAGGTAAGAGTGACCTTCACAGTAGCACACATACACTGCCATGATGGCAATTGCTGAACTTTCTAGAACAATGAGTGATATGCAATGATTTTTTAAAAATTTAAGCATTCCATGCATTTTTAGATAAGCATTATTACTTAGATACTTAAACAGTTGAGCATTTACTTAGATAAGTATTTTTAGAGTGACTAAATACTTATGCTACTCTGCTACAGCTTAAAAATACATTTGTTACGAACAAAGATGGCATGTGCAGAAACAAAATTGGTATTAAGAGAAGGTCATAAGTGCAAAACCAATCTTTCCTCATTCCTGTACAGTGAAAGATCATTAATGACCGCCATTAAATAGCAAGCATAAAACATTCCTTATGGAACAGCATATCCAGTATATCAAAGTACTGTCCCGTTACAAATGGCTAAATGTTTTCTTGTTTAAGAGCTGAACAATTTATTTTTAATACGGGAATGGAACTGAAGTTTCAAATATTTATGAAACGAATGAAACGCAAGTCTGTCCTTCACAAAACTTCCTTTTTCATAACTCGTAAAACAAGCATTCATATACAGTACATAAGCAAAAACACCACCCAAGGAAACTTAAGTTCACAGATTTACATATTTCAACTTAGTCTCTAAATTTTAAAGATCAGAAAATTACCCCATATGTCTCCAGCAAATGATCCATCTTCTTTTTGCAAGTTCTGTATATATTCAACAATTTTATTTACATCAACAACGTGGAGACTATCATATAAGATAAGAATCTGGGAAAAAAAAGGCACAGTAACAATCAGAGAGAGGCAAAAACATTAAAAAAAAAACTTCTTAAAAAAATCCTAGATTTATAAAAGACTATTTAATTGACTGTGAATGCTATTTGGTAATGCTCATGAATATAAAATTTCATTCACTGCAGTTCATTATCTCTGTCTAAAAATTTAAGAAACTCTCAAATGTAAAGATAGGCAATTCAAGCTGAACTCTTTCGTGCTTTGCTACTTTCCAGCTTCCAACTCTCCTTTCAAAAGCAGAACTGGGTTTATTTCTTTCTAAGTTAGCATTACGAAGGACAGAGCTTTTATTATGGTTAATTTGGGAATGAGGTAATGTGCACTGCTGCTACTTGGACACGTGCAAGTGTAAATTGAGTGCTAGTTACTAATCCTTCAATTGTTAGATAAATTGTTAAATAAAATTTAAGTGTTAAGGAAATGCAAAAAAGAATGTACAACTCCAACAGAAAAATATTTTATAGCATGCTCCTTAAAAAGCCAATCTGAACAAATTAATCTTAATTGTGAACACAGGAAGATACGACAGGACCCTTTAAACATATAGATAGAACTAAATAGTGTTAGTTCACTAACAACGTGCATGCTCATTAATACATGCTAATTAAGTTTACCACAAAAAATTTACATCAGCACTTGCGGACATGTGACAGCTTTGCACATCTACAGCTGCATTCAGTTAACATGAAAGTATCTGCCAGAAGTACCAAATATTTATTTAAGAACTCCATCTCTAATAGGTAAAAGTAAACAACCTCAAATTGATCCCCTTCTCTTTATACTGGATTACAATTTGTGAAAGGAGTTTGAATGGAAAGTTTGGAAAAACTCATTGGTCATAGCCCAAAGAAACTTTAGTTTCCTGGTTTTCAGAGTAATTCTAGAGCTAAAGCGGAGACAAATACCAACTCTAGAGCAGATAACACATGCCAACACTCATCACTGACCCAATTCTTCTTCATCAAAACCACATTCTTCTGTCCTGCCTAAAGGTTTCAAATCCATCACACCTTCTTCCTAAAACAGGATGCTAACTTTTTTTTTTAACACCATTTAAATATTTCTTCCATAAGAATGGACTAGAGATACATTACACAAGCAACCAAGCAATTGTTCAGAAGCGTATGAGCCTTTTCAGTAACCTTTTCACATGACTGTGGCATGACAAGAACCCAAAACCAACCAACCCAAACTCCATACTCAAGAGATAATGAGAAAGGTGAAAAAACAAGATTGAGAATTACTTTTTCTCAGGGGAAGAGTACATACCAAATAAACAAATAACATACTCAACAGACTGGTATCATTTTTAAGTCCCACACAAGAAAAAAAGCAGCAGATTGGAGAAACAGAACAAGAACCGGCTACTACAATGTTTCTTTCGTATAGTACTAAAGTGTAAACACACTACACATAATTATATGTGTTGCATAAATATATAGGTTATATAAATGTTACATAGTTATTTATGTGTTACAATATATAGCAATCATAATATATAGGAATATGTTCATTAAAAAATAAAATCCAAAACTTTACTCTTACTGTGTTCACCTCAATGTACACTAAGAATTTATAAAACCCAAAATTATCTACAAAAAATTCCAGTAAAACCTGTAACTAAGAAATATTTCAAGAAGACTGTTACAAAATTTATCAAAATTGCAATCACCATTAAATGGTCATTAAAAGCACAGTGTTCCCCAATCTGACTTTTTTTTGAAACTGTACAGCGAAGTCCTGAAGTTTTGTCCATTAGATTTTATTTTTTTTAATAAAGGACTGAAATAGTTTTTGCCATGGGCATCCAACAGTATCTGATTCGTAAACCTGCAATCATGAAAATTATTAATTACACACTTTTTTTTTTTTTTTTCTAAAAATTACCGTGTTACTCTTACCTGGACAGCACTGAGGGTATACAGAAGATGAGGATCGTGACCTATGCTGGCACTGATTCCACCACACTCGTGCTGACATGATTTGATGAACGCCAGAATTTCTTCTTTGTTCATTCGGTGCAGCTGCCCCATGAGATCCATCGCTGTCAGCCCCCAGTAAACACCGCTCATCCTCAAATACTCCGACATACAGTACTCCTAGGTAGTGCATTATTTTAGTTCTTGATCAGATAAGCACATCATCGATACAGAGCAATGAAAATACATTAGTTAACATTTACAAACAGTTTGTAATAGGTCAAGCACCTTCCATCCCATTAACGACTTGCTATGTATCAGCCACCCACAAATATTCTGTACATCATGCACGTGTGTATATACATACGCATACTTACAGGCACAAGCACACCTATGTATCTACACAGGCTGCATTCCCTTCTTCTGTATTTTCTACATTAAAGTATCAAGCTCAATGTCAAATCAACACACAAAAGTAGTTAGGCACCAATTCACTTCAGATTCACTTCAGTTATTATCCTGGTATAAAAACTACTACGCAAATTACCACCCCAACTTGTCTCAAAAATAACAAGTCTAACATTTAATGAAACTTACTTCCAGGTGCCAAAACTGCCGCAATCTACAGTTGCACTGGGAAGTAAAACCTCGTATTGAACCATCTTACATTGATTACCTCGCCGCCACTATCCATAAACATTATCTTCTACATGTGGTACCTTGTAAACATAAGAACACCAACCACAAGCAACAGTGCTTGGAGTTCTTTTGTGGATAGTAAAGCTAACTGCAACTTTTCTTCAGACATAAGCAGCTATTAACATTTTTCACCTGCTGGACTGGAATCCTGTAGTCGTGGGCTACACCAGGTTGCTTCAAGCAACCTGCTCCAGTGGGAGGTGTCCCTGCCCAGGGCAGGGGGCTGGAACTAGATGATCTTTAAGGTCCCTTCCAAATCTAAGCATTCTATGATTACCTACGACTATGAAACTGCTGCTCATTAAAGTGTTTCTCAAGCCTAGTGCTGTGTGCATCAAAGAGCAGCGTGTCAGCGCAGCGATACAGCTTGAGCATTCCAGAGGATGAAGCAACAGCAAGTAGCTCATTTCCCAGGTCTCAGAGTAATTCTAGAGCTAAAATGATAATTTTCATATTTACACTCAGATAATGCATGCCAAAACTCATCAGGGACCTAGAAAAATTAACAAAGACATCTTTCTTTTATACTTTGGATTGCAGGGCAAGAAGCAGTCGTGAGCCTGTATCTGACCCTTGGCTCTGAGCTCGTCAATAAAGCGCAGCTGCGCTGGAGCAGGTCGATACCTACGTAATCATCTTTCTTTGTTCCATACGAGGCGATATAGTCCGCGTGCTTCTCCGAAAGTAAGGTGCTTGGGGCATCGGGTTTTATTATAACATCCTTCTGTGGTGTCCCCTGTAACAGACACGGAGAAGCGCCCGTTTTGCTGTCAGCCCGGGAGGTTTCAGCCCGGGCACAGCCCCGCCATGGCCGGCCGCCGTCCCTGCCCGGCGCAGCCGCCTCTGCCTCGGGGCAGACCTGGGTCTCACATCGCCCTTCCTGGCTAAACCCTCCCCAGGGCACGGCTGCCAACGGCACCTTTCAGCAAAGCTGCGAAAAATCACCAATTCGCCAGAAACAAACCGAAAACTCGGGCGAAGGAGCCCTTCACGGCGCGCCCCTCACCGCCCGGCCCGGCCCGGCCCAGGGCAGGGCAGCGCGCCCGGGGCCCGCCCTGCAGCCGG